AAGTTCCTCCCTTCCCCCCCCCCCAGATCTCCATATCTATAGTTTCTGGAGGATAGGGGGTAGGGGATGGGCTGTAATGTTTAGCCAATAGGTTAAAATTTCAAGTGGGCAACATCTTCCAGTGTGGAACTGGAAAATATTGCACACCTGAAATTTTAACCTATTGGCTAGACATTATTCTTTCTAGTGCATACTTTCTCAGTCAATTACTGGAAAGACTCAAACCATTGGGAACACATATTCCTTTCTGATATTGAGATTCTACTGCAAAAGCCATGGCTTCATACACACTATAGAAGAGCAGGTTTTCTTCTTCCTCTTTGCAATATTCTCCCCTAGCCAGGGAATCCCTTACAGAGGGATTGCACTGAGCCAGCAGGACCTGGATACCAATGGTTTCATAATCTCTGCGAACTTCTTTCAGTGTATGGATCCCTGCTGTATCTAAAAATTGTATTGCACTGCAGTCAATAACTATAGTATGCAGCTTGAAGGGATCATGGGAGAGTTGCAATGAAACTTCATCCTGAGCTCCACTGAGAGTCACGGTTTCCTCTTTGATCTTTCTCTTTGCTGCCTTCTTCTGAGCTGCCTTTACTAAGATTGGGTTGACAGTTTTTTTGTATAAAGCAGATTTAAAGCATTCTTTGTTTATGTAGTAGAGAGGGGCTGCAAAGTGAAAAATCTTGATGCCTGGCTTAGTCTGAAGATTCTTATAAGCAGACATGGATTCAAAGATTTCAGATTCTTCCACCAAGCCAAGCAATGAAATCTTTGGCTTCTGAGTGCGGAGGATGACACAAAACATGGAAAAACAAACCCCAACAAGCAGGCCTATTTCAGTACTTATCAGTGCAGAGGACAGCATAGTTACAAACCAGATAACTGTATCCATTCTGCTAACCCTCCACATCTTGGGCAGATCCCTAAATTTACGAAGGGCTCCCCGGAGATTTACAATTGTGATCACACCAAGAACACATTTCTGAAGGGAATAGAATAAAGGAGCTATTACGAGGAGGACCAACAAAAGAACTAGGGCTGTCACCACACCAGAAAGCTGAGTTTGGCAGCCTGTTGATTCTTTGACCAATGTCTTTGCAAGAGCTGCACTAGTAGTAAAGCAATGGAAAAAGGAAGGTATGATATTGCAAAAGCCAATGGCGTACATTTCCTGATTCGCTTTGACTGTGTAGCCATGTTTCTTGGCAAACATCTCAGAAAGTGATACAGTGATAGCAAAACCAATGATAGAAATAGCTATTGCATCTACAGCCACGCTGGTAATTAGGTTCCATGCTGGTGCTGTGGGTGGCATAAACCCAGTGGGAATAAGTCCAGCAATACTGGAATTGTATTTCTCACTTAGTTTTCCAAAATGAGAGGCTAATGTGGCTGCCACAACGACAATGAGTTCAGTAGGAATGGGTGCCTTAAGCTTGGACTTGAAGTGCTCATTGAGTTCTTTGGTTGGCAAAAGAACCAAAAGGCACAAAAGGCTAGTGATGAGATCACAGAGATTGGTCTTATGGATGTTTCTGAAGATATGTATCCAGGTAGTGATGAGTGAGCCCACGCCATTACTCCGAGGAAGGCTGAGCCCAAGAAGATACTTCACCTGAGATGTAAGAATAGTGAAGGAGGCACCAGTGACAAATCCACTCAGCAAGGCATCTGAGAGGTAGACAGAAACAAAGCCCACTTGAAAGAAGCCCATTGCTACCTGGAAGGAAAGATATACAACTGTTAAATATAAATGGAAAAGGGCTTTTAAATTTTGCACTACCTTGGCATTTCTTGCATGGAGACATACCACTAGAGCATCACAGAATGTCAGAACTAGAATAAACATAATCATACATCAATCTTCTCATTTTACAAAGAGAGGAAACTAATGCTTAGAGGGCTAAGCAACTTGCCCAAGGTTACACTGTTATTCATTAGCCCAGCTGAGACAGAAACTCAGGACTTCTGCCTTCTCATACAATAAAACTTTAATAAGGTTCCCTCTTTCAAAAAGAAAAAAAGGGCCGGCCCGGTGGCGCACTGGATAAGTGCACTGCTTGGGAAGCGCGGCGGCGCTCCCGCTCGAGGGTTCGGATCCCACATACGGACCGGTTCCCGCTCACTGGCTGAGTGAGGCGCGGGAGCAACGCCGAGGGTTGCGATTCCGTTGCCAGTCCCCAGTCCGGTACGGGGGCAACACTGAGGGTTGCGATCCGTTGCCGGACACGGAAAAAGACAAAAGACAAAAAAAAAAAAGAAAAAAGAAAAAAAATTCAAGGGTCCACAGAAAACATAAAAACTCAAACTGGGAAAATTCTTCTAATTAAGAAATCATGTATTTAAATTACATATCACTACTGTAATGGTGAAGTTTTTAACTGATAAAACAAAAAACAGATTCACATCAAAATAGAATCACACTTTAAAATTATTGTAGAACTCTCTTTAATCTAACCTCGTATTGAGAAATTGTTCTCATCCAGTGTATATGTGCTTATGCCATGCTGCCTCCCATATTAATAATACTCATAATTCTACATCTTCAAAGATACAACTTTTTTATTTCTTTATTTTTTCCTCTTCCCGATAATTCCCCAGAATTCTATTACATCTTCCTCCTTCTTGGTGAGGAATACTAACTAAAAAGCAAAAGGACTCTGAGGAGCACACTCATCTGCACATCACCTTCCCTCTCTCTCCTCTCCTCATCCAAGCACCAAATGCAGTGAGCTACTCTTTCCCTTCCCTTGTTGGTTCCAAACGCCTGCTATAGGTTTAATTCTCGCACTCATTCCTAGATGCCAAAAGGCAGGGGCATGATGATAATAGCAGACTAGGAAATTCTATGGGAGACCCAAAAATTTCATTTCTAATCCTTTCACCTGGCTAATAATGTGAAATTGTGGTCCTCGACTTTTTCCCTCCCTCCCCAACAATCCAAGAGAACTACTATCTTTAGTAAGAGTCACACACTAGAGCAGTGACTCTAAAGGAAGGTAGGGGGCATCTACAATTTGAGAAACTCCTGCACTTTCCTCTCCCAACCCCCATTCTGTTAACCTCTTGCCTGACTGCTAATGCTGACTGTGCCAATAAACAACCACACATAATTTCAAGCATACCCAATGTTTCCTGACATGTAAAATTAAGGATTTGTTTTAGGTGGTTTGAAGGACCTTTCTGGTCTAAATTTTTACATCCAAATAATTAAAATCTGGCTGGCTGAAATTCATGGGTTAAGAGGCAGCCTCGGGTTAGGAAAGAGAACCAGCCTTCTCTTACCATGGAGTCAGACCAGGGTTTGAATTTTGGCTCTACCCTTCATATATCCTGAGTACTCAACACATGATAGCTTTAATTACTGAGACCCCTAAGATCCTTTACAGATCTAAGATTTCATGTATAGTGATTACTTTTGCTAGAAACAACCGATTGTTCCACTGTTTCTTACCTGATAAACTCCAGCCATAAAGGTTACAGTGCTGCCAACCATAATAGCATAGCAACTTTTGTCACATATCCTGTCTGTTGTCTGGTTTAATAATGTGCTCCCATTTGAAACCTTTCCTAAAGCAGGAGCAATATGGGCAGTGTCATAGCCAGCTTTGTGCAGTTCTCTGTCAACTACCTCACCAATCATAAGGCACAGTACTCCAAAAATGCCCACAGAGATATGACGGGAGGTACCCAATAGGAAATAAATTATGCTGGCAAAAAAAGATGTGTACAGACCATAGATAGGTTCTTGGCCAGCCAAGAGGGAATAAGCAATGGACTGGGGCACCAATAAGATGCCCACAATCAAACCAGACATCATATCTCCTAAAATGTTTTTCTTTATATCATATTTTGGGAGCCACTGCAAAACAGGAAGGAAACCAAAAATCATATTTTTGGCTTTGGTTGGGCCACACTGGCAATTCTTCCGTAGCTTTTTGATAACAAACTGCTTGAAGTTAGTATTTGATTTCTCTTGAGGCTCCATATGAATCCTAGGATAAGGTCTGCATTGAGCATTGGCATCAAATTGCTTGAAGTCAGTACTTGATTCCTTTCGCTGCTCCAAATGGATCCCAGACTGGGAACCGTCATTTCCTTCAGCTGAGTCCCTGTGTGAAACATTATGTTGCTCTTTACTTTTCAAAGACATTTCTGGAGATAGATGGTTCAGCTTCCTACATCAGAGAAAATACCAGTGTTAACTCATAGAGTAATTCTCAGTGCTCACATATACTAACGGTCCTACTTGTCATTCATGAGAGTTATGTGGAATTCAGGGTATACAGGTGATCCTACATCTGTGGGTACTAAACTACAGAACTAGTACCATAAGACCTACCACTAGGAACTACAGGAAAACAAAGGAGGTAAAAATTACCAAAAAGAGAGAAAGGAAAATGAGAAAGTAAGTCTTATAATGGAGGAAAAGAAGAGGAAAAAGAACCAGGCTCTCAAAGGAGTAGAATGTAAATTGTTTGCCAAATACTTCACAAATTAGTGCCTTTGCATAAGCTATTTGCTTAGCTTAGAATGGCCATCCACCTCTCTACCTGTCAAGACTCTAATTATTTTTAAAACCCAGTTAAAATGCTACCTTTCTACAAAGCACTAACCAATGTCTCCTAGTCCAAATACATCTACACCCTCTGTGTCCCACAGCATTTTGCACCTCCATTATAGTAAGAACCACACTCCTGTATTCATTAAGTAGGAGTCTCTCCAGCTCCTGGAGGAAAGGATATCTTGTTCATCTGTGTAATCATCATTAAATGTAATGTAGTAACTCTGAGACAGTAGGCTTGTAAAATGTTTGAATGAAAGAACAAATGTATAAACAAGTTTGTGACTGTGGCCAGACAGAGACAAAATATATTAGATGAAGGACTCAGGAAGTTTCCTGTATTGGAAATGACAGAAAAATGGGCCCTTGTGAGGTTCCATAAACCTGATATTACCAAGGTACCACAAACCTAATATTCAAGAACACAAGATACATAAAAGTAACCCACATTCATTTTATTTAGTTTGAACAAGAGTAAAATAATAGATTTTGATGGTTTTGTGAAGTAGATAAGGAAAAAAGAATAGACTAAGATGACCACTGACCCTGAGCAAGTCAATCAGATTGGTGGATGCACTCAGTAGCTCTTCGTTTCTCAGTGCAACTGGTCTCTCTTCTCACTTTCTGTTTTCTTTAGCTAGCTTGAGTGTACTTATGTCCCATACTGGAGCAGCTCTTGGTGATTTCTGGATCAAAAGGCTCTTCCAAACCTAAGACATACAAAAGAGGCATAAGAAAAAAAAATCTAAATTTTGCCCTTTATGGCTGCTATCTTGGAAGGAAAAATTAAAAGCCAATACTAGAAATTATGACAGAAAGATGAAAACTATAGGAAAGAATCAAGCAGAAATGCTAGAAGTGACAAACACAATAGCAGAGTGTGGAATATACTAAAAAGCATACGTACCTTACAGGGCCTAGTTTTCCAAAGCCTTGCAGTCTCAAATATTGACCTTGCAAGGACAGGAAATTTCCCTCAGGCTATAAGTCTCTGTTGCAAGATAAGGCTTGTGGCACAGCAGGTTGCTGGCTCAAAGACAGACTAGTTACTGATTGTTATGTAAAGATACTGAGAAATTGCTATAGGAAGGAATGTTTGCTAAGATCAAACAGTTGTTGATAGGACCACTTAATTGCCTTACTGGAATGTCATCTGGCTTGTTTCACTGAAAGTTACCAGCCTATATTGTTAAACTATAACCCCACCTTTGTTCTCTACCTGTAACTTCCTGGTCTGGAAAATAAATGCAGGAAGAGAACCCCAATTCAGCATTAATTTCCCAAGGAAGGAATGCCTATCCCTTGAGGGTTCCAGGTGATTAACCACTTTGGGGCCTCTCACTGCTCAGAAGAGATGGGCTTTGAGTAATCCTTTGCATCTCTGTCACCCAGGGGAAGTGGGGTGACAAATCGTGGGGAGTGAAGCAACACAAAGCAACAGCAGAGATGAAGAATGCCTTTGATAGGATCATCAGTAGACTTGATAGAGCCAAAGAATCAATTAACTCAAAGATAGATCAACAGAAATTACCTAAACTAAAACACAAAAACAGAATTTAAATAATAAAAGAAACAAACAAAAAAAACCCAAATAACAAGATAATAGAACATCCAAGAGCTGTGAGACACATCAAACTATATAACATATGTGTAATTAGAATCCCAAAAGAAGTGACAGAGAATGAGCAGAAGAAATATTTGAAGATATAATGGCCAAGAATTTTCCAAAATTAATGACAAACATTGAACTACAGATCCAAGAATCTCAGCAAACACCAATAATAATAATAAAAACAAAAACAAAACCCCACATCTATTTATATCACATTCAAGCTACTGAAAACAAAAGACAAAGAAAATTCTGAAGACAGTCAAAGAAAAAACACATTACTTATACAGGAACAAAGATAAGAATTACAGTCAACTTCTTTTGGAAACTATGGATGATGGAGTGATATCTTTATCAGAGTAATATAACTTTCAGCCCAGAATTCTTTAACCAGGTAAAATCATTTAAAAAATGAACGAGAAATAATAGGTTTCTCAGTTAAACACTGAGAGAATTTATTGCCAGCAGACCACCACTGTATATATTTAAAGCTACAGTGAGGTTCTTTAAGCAAAAATAATATGTCCCAGACAGAAACTCAGGTCTACACAATAAAGAAATAAAGTACAGGAAATGGAACAAATAAAGATAAAATAAAGTTCATTTTTTCAATTATAAAAGAATCTTTTTTTCTTTTAATTTTTATTGAATCATAATTGGTTATACATATGGGGGTTCAATGTTAACACATGTTGATCAAATCAATATTACTAGTATGTATATTGTTACAAATTGTACTTATTCTTTATGCCTCTTGTTCAATCTCTCCCCATCCCTCTCTCCATCCCCCCTCCCCCCCTGATAACCCTAGATTTCTTCTCTCCCTCTGAAAGAGTAATGGTTACTCTGTTGATTTGCTGCCTAGATGATCTGTCCAATGCTGAGAGGTGTGGTCAGGTCCCCCAATATTATCTGAGAGCAAATGCTTCTTCTGTCACTCTGGAATGGGCTTTGTGGAGAGAGACATCCTCTTCTTTTCTTTGGTCTCTGCTGGTGACTCTCCTTGTGTCAATGCACTCCAGCGGCTGGCGGACCATCTGCACAGTGGTTGTGGTGTCTAGCCACTTCTGCTGCAGCCATGGTTATTGTGGTTGGTGGCTGTGGTGGATCACCCACATGGAGGTGATGTTTTTGGCATGCTCCTTGGCGCTGGTGGTGTGCCTGGTTGTGGGGGATGGTCCAGACCCCGGCTCCATGTTTCAGTTCCCTGGGTGGGCCCTGAGGTGCTAGCAGTGTGCTTGGTTGTGGGAGCGGGGGGGGTCTGGTCCCTGGCTCCATGCCTCAGGTCCCTTGGTGGGCCCCGAGGTGCTGTTGGTGTGCCTGGGCCAGGACTAATTTTTTATCCTTTGCTTACTTCTAAAATGAGGGAGCTTCCTATGGGAACCAGTACTTGAGCTATGTGGTTGAACTAAATTGCTGCTTTGCTGCTGCTTCCCTAGGGAAGGCTTTTTGTGCAGCTAAGCTTTAATGGTTGACCTTATAGGTACTTCCAGCTCTCCAGAGATCCAGTGCACCCGGGTTGTGTAGAAACTCTGATCTGGGCCTGAGTCTTTTCATCAAACTCCACCCTGTGCAATTCAATATTCCTGACCAATCTCCTCTGAGTGGTCCTGCGCTGATTGGGGGGCAGATTGGCTGTCCTTGCTATGTCCCACTGTTCCCTCGGTGGGCCCATCTCCCCCACCGCCCATGCTCCAAACACTTCCCATGGGATGGGCCCTGCGTTGGTCCCTTGCGATGACTCACCGGCCTCTGAATGGCTCCCCTTTTTCAGCTGTTCTGGCTCCTCACTCCTGCATGGGTCCACTGGAGCCCTATTAGTGGTCTTGCTGTCCTGGGGGCCACCATGGCCCTTTTCTCCCCTTCCGCCTCCAAGTAACTTCATCTAAAATGTACAGCTGCGGCTTCTGCCGGCCCCTGCTCCATGTGCTCAGCAGCTCCCACCTTAAAGCAGCCGTGGCCCAAAACACTCTGAGCAATTTTTTCTTTCTCTCATCATGGCTTCCCCCATCTTGATGAACTCTGTAGGTCTCTCCTCCTCTTCCCCTGAGCTCTAGTGGCCCCAGCTTGGCTGTTGTTGCTTTTTCATAGTTGTAAATTGATTGATTTGTGGGCGAGAGTGACACTGAGGACCATCTATTCCCCTATCTTGACCAGAAGCCCCATAAAAAAATCTTCAATTGTTCTAAAAGATAATTGTCTAAGCCAAAAAATTGTAATGCATTTTGTTTATAGTATATGCAAAATAAATGTATGACAATAATAGCACAAAGAATGGGAGGGGGAAATTAGGAATTGTAAAGTCTTACAGTAGGTGTGAAGCAGTATAATATTATTTGCAGATAGGCTCTGATTAGTTAAAAACATACACTGTAAACCCAAGGGTAACCCCTCTCTCTCTCTCTCTCTCTCTCTCTCTCTCTCTCTCTCTATATATATATATATATATATATATATATTTTTTTTTTTTTTTTTTTTTTGTGACCGGTAAGGGGATTGCAACCCTTGGTGTGGTGTTGCCCACACCGCGCTCAGCCAGTGAGCGCACTGGCCAGTCCTATGTAGGCTCCGAACCTGCGGTGGGAGCGTCGCTGCGCTCCCAGCACTGCACTCTCCCAAGTGTGCCACGGGCTCGGCCCAACCTCTATATATTTTTAAGGGTATAAATAAGTCAATAGTGGAGATAAAACAGAATCATAAAAAATTATCAACCCAAAAGAAAGCAGAAGAAGAGGAAAAAAGACCAAAACCAGATGGAACAAATTGAAAACTGCCAGGAAGATGGTAGAGTTTAATCCAAACATATAAATAATCATCTTCAATATACATGGTCTAAACATGCCAATTAAAAGACAGAGACTGTCAGATTGGATAAAATTAATAAGACCCAACTAAATGCTTTGACCCACTTTAAGTATAAAGACATAGGTTAAAAGTGAAAGATCTTCCCCAATTTAGCAATTTATTTAGATTATAAATGACTGAACCAGGTAATAAAATCCATATTTTAGGACTCCAAGAATAGCTCTTTTTAAAAAGATAACACTATTCCTACCACCTTATAATTAGCTTCTCCAATTTCAGATACTTCTAAACACCTTAGAATTCAGCTACCTTACACATTCCAATTTCATCTATCTGCTACTCAAAATGATCCAGCAGTGATATCCACAAAGGTATCTCCAACTCTCCCTTTCTCTACAATCATGGCCCGGGCCATCTCTAGTTCTCAGAAACTTAGGTATTCACTCAGAAACAATCCTAGAAGTAGAACTAATTTGGCCACAAGTCTGAATCTAGAAAGTTCCATAATCATGCTTTGCTCTATCTAAATATGTATACTACAAATTCAGTGCTAAATAAAACCAGAAGCTTCTGACTGCTATGATCAAAAAGAATGCTTAGCACTTAGTAGATCAGTAAATTCTTGCTAAAATGAACAAGAACACAATTTCTACCCACAACCAGTAGACTAAGACAGAGTAAACAGATAAATTATAACATTCTAGGTAACATAACAGAGGTTTAGCATATTCTTAGAGTGGAGAATAGGCTGTAGACCAATATAAAATAAGAAATTGCAATGTTAATAAGAAGGGAAAGAATACTCAGGCAAGTGAAAGGTCACAGTATAATATAAGACCCAGGAAAAATTCACAAGAATGCCAAGTTACTGGAGTGAAGTTGCAGGAGATAAGACAAGTGAAAGATCAGTTTCTTATGTAATACCAAGAAGCCTAGAGTTCATCCTGCAATCTATAGTTAACAAAGGCCTAAATTCCAAGGCTGGGCAGGGATGGAGAAGGCTTTACATTTCAGTGGCACACTTAGATAAGAGGTGGTGCTTAAAGGACATGGACAAATCTAAGACAAATTCTGAGGTGGACCACACAAAAAGAAGGATGGTATATGGGAGTACGGAAGAGGAAATGGAAAGATAAGAGGCAGCAAAAAGTTTGACTTTAGGTTTCTTAGATTTAAGATTTCTGTAAAATGTCCGAATTGTATACTCAGTAGGCAGTCAGATACAGGGGTGTTCAGTACGGGAAAGAAGTCAAAATTGGAAAAATAAATGGGGTGGGGAGAAGACTGTATAAATCA